TAGTGCAATTGGAATATTAACTTATTTTACAAACCGAACTTCACCCAACATAGTTTTCTGTAAATCTCGTTGCAAGATATAGCTCTACACCAACTCCAAAATATTAGAATTGTGTTAAACTTTACCTAAAGGATACCATTGATTTGAGATTATTTTATTCTCAAAAATCGAGATCTGGTTTAGTGGAATATGCATATGCATGTTATTTCGCTAACCTACATAAAGCTACATCATAAACATGATATGTGCTTACATGTTGAAGAACAGTTATATCATGGAGATTGTGAAGTAATTCTTGATAGCAACATCCCCAAATCATCTTAAAATTATTGTCATCCATGAAATAGATAGAGAATGTGTATGGCTGAGAAACACGACCCATCACATCCAAGAATCATATGGATTAATTTCAACGAAAATTAGTCCAACAATTCTTTATGAAGACAATGCAACTTGTATTGCAAATATCAAAAAAGGCTATATCAAAGGTGACATAATGAAGTATATTTCTCCAAAATTCTTTTATACACATGAGTTTAAGAAGAATGACGACAACAATTTTTAACAAATTCGTTCAAGTGATAATGTAGCCGATTTATTCACAAAAGTATTGCTGATAGCCACATTCAAGAAATTGGTCATACGATTGGAATCTATCGACTCAAAGATTTTCATCAATCAACATCGAAGGAGTAGATGTATTCTTTTTCCTTCGTTTATGTTTTATCCCACTGAATTTTCCTAACAAAATTTTAATGGGGTATCATTTATTTTTAAAACTCTAAAATAATTGTACTCTGTTTCTCTCATTTGATATTTTATCCCATTAGATTTTTATCAAATAAAATTTTAACGAGACAAATATTTTGTAATGTGTCATTCAATGAGAAGGTTGTAAATGACAAATTTATTAGTGAATGATAATTGTACCCCTAAAACTTATTAGCATTATATTCATGATTCTTCCCTATAAATAGAGGACTTTAGTTCTCAATAAAATACACACAAATCTATTGACTTTTATTTTCTCCTCTTTTTCTCACTTTTCATAGCATTTGCAATAAATTTACCATCATAATCTTAATCCAAAAAAAAAACTAAAAATAAATCATTGTGGTGTGTGCATCATCTTTAAAACACACAAAAATTCATAATTACAGACATGGTCTTTTCCTAATTCATCTGTATTACTTTCTGCAATAGATTTCAAGTCTCTCATATAATTTGATATCCTAAAATTGGCTTCCCATTTCTAATTTAATTGACATTTTTTTGCAGCAAATTTCAATCCACAATTTTCACTAATTTATTTCATCTACCTACTACTTTGTACAAGAGAGGATATGCGACAACTTCACATGGTGCTATGTCTAGCAGTGTGAGAGGAGGAGGAGGGGTGGCTCCTAATATGATGTGAAAATGGAAATTGATGAATCAACAAAGACCTCATAGGCACCCGATGGATTGACCATATATTATCAGCCGAAGAAAAAAGCTAAGGATATTGACGCTATTGGGTTGTGGACACAGCTCTTGAAGAACGTAATTAGTAGCCACTAAATCGAAGTTTGGCTTCATTTTTTCTAACAATTAAATGGAATCCTTTGCTTTTCTTCAAAAATTGTTCTACTATTTTAGTGAATAGGATATATGAATTTTTGTTCCTCCTCTACCACTCATATGCTCTGATAATTTCAAGATTGGTTTTTCATACTTGTGTTAATTTGTTCATGACAATCACAAACCTAAAAGCAAGCCTACGTTGCAGATTTCATTAAAGCTCATTGATGTTTGAAGAGAAACATGATTGTTGTTTAAAGATTGATGTTTGAAGAGAAATATGTAGATTTCAGCATAATAGTTGCTTTACAAGAATGTCTCTTTCTCAAATGACATTTTTGATTTATGACTAGTAGTAAGTACATGCGTTGCACGTTTATATATCGATGAATGATATGTGCACTATTTTTGAATTACTAATACCTTTTTTTAAAAGCCAATAAAGGTGATTGATATTGTTAAATGGAAAATTACAATTGAGTATATATAAGTTTTTTATGAAATTATGTATGAATAAACTAAAATGTAATGATATGATTACAATAATATTTTTTTGTACACAATATATTTCTTTTAGTGATCGAATGTTGATGAGTACTCTACACTCATAATATTTATGCCACATAATTTGTTATTTTATTACTCTTGAGAGCGTTTTAGAGCCTTTTATTTTGTGTTTTGATGTTGTGATGTAGGTTGATGAAATTGAAAGAAATAAGCAAAAGTTGGCGAAATTGGAGAAAATTGCCAAATTGTAAGAGATTCAAAGTTCGGGGACTAAAGCGCAAATATTGAAAAGTTGTGTTAAACCTCACAATGAAGATCCGAGCATGCTAGGAGTCAATTGGATGAAAAAAAATGTCAAAGGGATCAAATTTAGTCAAAATATGATCACAAATCAATTTCCAACCGAAAAGTTGTGCTTTGGAATTTCAGCCTCACATTGAGACACATTTTTGACATAGCAAATGATTGAAGCGAAGAATAATATCTGAAGAAAATTTGTGCTCCTTTGAGTTAGCTTTCTAACGAGCTTTGAATCACCTCAATTGGATATCGGATGAGAAAATTATGCTAAAAATACTGAAAGATGCGCAGAAGAAATTTTCCACCCGAACCGGGCGCCATGGCGCCCAAGATGGGCGTTGCAGCTCCCATGAATTTGAATTTGATAGTAAGGGCAGCACCGCAGTGCCCATATTGGGTGCCGAGGCGCCACCTATGTGGGGAAACGTATTTTGATGTTTTTGGACTCCTTTCTTGGCCCAATTAAACTCAAAATCGTCCAACACTTGAAGAGACTATAAACACTACCTAAAAGACCTAATTAAGAGGAGGAGAACGAGCAAGAAAAATTGGAAGCAGACGGCAAGAACACGTGACTGGAAAGAGGAGTTTAGCCGGCCAATTACAAAAATCTTCAAGGGGACAATCTGGAGACAAATCCAAAGGGATTCCAGCTGGCCAATTGCAAAAAATCTAGAGACAAACCCACGGCTGGTCAATACAATTAAAGAAGAGGAATTTAATTGAGAGAATTTCACAAAAATGGAAGAAGAAATCGAGCGGCAAAAACGAGTTTTTCTATTCCTTTTCTTCTCTATGTTCTTTCTTATTAATTTATTAATGTCAATTCCTTTAATTATGCACTAAATTTTAATCCTAGGGTATGATGTAGCCTACTTTAGACATGTTTGGATTTCGTTTTAATTATTTCAATTGATCTTTCCGTTTATTTATTTATGTTGTTTGTGCGTAACGCTTTCAATTAACTAGTTACTAATTGATTGATTTGATGTTCTAAATTTTAACGCTCGAGAGAGGCAAATTTAGGCATGATCTAAGACAATATAACCTAGATTTCATAGGTTTCGAGAGAAAGTACGAATCTTTTAGGCATGTTTTAATTAAGAACCACATGCTTGATAATTTTTATATTTTTAATTCGAAATAGAGATATTGGAATTAAAATATAAAAATAGATTTGGTGCTCGAGAGAGGGAAATAGAATCAATTTAGCGTTCTTGCCTATAAATTTTGGAAAGATTGATAGAAATAGTTATACGGTTGAAAAATATTGTCGAATGTACGGTGAAATCATTCCCTAGACATTCATAATTTGATAAGAAACTTCATAATTTGCCCTCGTTTACTTGCATCGTTCATCCTATTTAATTTTAATTTAGCATAAAAACATGGAATCAAAATTTGATTGTCTAAATAAAGGGAAAGCTAAAATAATTATAGTACTCAGTTGATTCAAATATCAATCCATGTGGGTTCAACATCCTAACTTCTTTACTATATTACAAAACTTGACACCGTACACTTGCGGTTTAAAAATCACGATGCATAAATCGCGTGACAAGTTTTTTGCGCCGTTGTCGAGGATTGATTTATTTGAATTCAATTAACATTATTACCAATTAGCTTTCATTTTACTTTAGATTTGTATTTCTATCGTAATTTTTATTTTTATTTTATTCTTTTTGTGTCTATCTTTAAGAGCTTCCTTGTGGTTATTTTCAGCTGTTTATACGAAGGGGGAGAAATCTAGACCTACTACCTGTTGATCCTGAACCAGAACACACATTTCGCATTCTCGGAGGCATACAAAGAAACGAACATGAAGCAATGGCAGAACGGGATGCTAGAGCAGCCAATGAGGATAACCAACAAAGGGCTATTCGGGATTACATAAGGCCGATTGTGAATGACAATTATTCTGGCATCGCACGTCCAGCAATTGTTGCAAACAATTTCGAACTGAAGCCAGGACTTATACACATGGTGCAGCAGAATCAGTTTGGGGGAGCTCCAACACAAGACCCAAATGCTTATTTTAGGTCCTTTCTGGAGATCTGTGATACAGTGAAAATGAATGACATTACTGAAGATGCAATTCGACTCTGCCTATTTTCCTTTTCCTTAAGGGACAAAGCCAAGGCATGGTTCCAATCATTTTCGTATGAACCCATCACAACTTGGGAGGGGTTAGCGCAGAAGTTTCTTACAAAATTCTTTCTACCTTCGAAAGCAGCACAATTACGGAATGAAATTGGACAGTTTCGACAATTAGACTTTGAACCATTCTATGAGGCATGGAAGAGATATAAAGATCTATTCAGAATATGTCATCAGCATGGTTACCTGGATTGGTTGCAGATACAAACCTTCTACAACGGTTTGAATGGTCAGACACAGATAGTGCTAGATTTTGCAGCATAGGGTGCATTATTATACAAAACTCCAAATGAGGCTTATTGGATGAGATAGCTACTAATAGCTATTGATGGCTGAGTGAGCGTTCAAGTGCAAAGAAAGTTGTTGGACTTTATGAAGTTGATCCTATTACCGCCCTTGTAGCTCAAATGTCGTCTCTCACTAATCAAATAGCTGCATTGACTTCACACGAATCATAAAAGAAATCAGAATCTATTATGGCTACATTCACTACATACCAAAAAGTTGAAAGGGAGAATAAACAACTTCAGTATGTGAACGATCGAAATTTCAATCAAAAGGGAAACTACTCAGGAAACAACTACTATCAGGGGTTCAATAATCAAGCATTTGAGCGAAAGCCATCACTGGAAGATATTTTAGGAACCTTCATTTCGGAGACTAGATCGAGGTTCAACAAAGATGAGGCAAGACTTGACAACATTGAGACACATATGACCAACTTGGGGGCTACAGTGAAGAATTTGGAGGTACAGATTGGTCAGATAGCAACTGCAATACAGTCTCAACAAAAAGGACAATTTTCCAGTGACACAGAGGTTAACCCATGGGAACACTGCAATGCTATCACCCTAAGAAGTGGTAAAGCAGTTGAAGAACACAAGCTTAGAGAGGTTGGGATACCTACATCGGATCCCATTCTTGCAAGGGAAAAGCAGACTGAAGGACAGAAAATAGAGGCAGAGGCAACAAAGAAGATTTATAAGCTTTACTCAATTTCATTTCCGGACAATCCACCTATCTTGAAGCCCCCACTACCATTCCCACAGAGGTATTTGAAGAAGGAGTTTGATGAAAAATTCGCAAAGTTTCTGGAGGTCTTCAAAAAAATCCACATCAACATTCCCTTTGCAAAAACCTAGGCCCAAATGCCTAACTATGCCAAATTCTTAAAGGAAGTGATGTCAAAGAAGAGAAAGTTGGAGGAATTTGAGATCGTTAAGCTGACAGAGGAGTGTAGTGCCATACTTCAGAAGAAGCTCCCTCATGAATTGAAAGATCCAGGTAGCTTCAACATCCCGCGCAATATTGGTGGTGTCACATTTGATAGGGCACTATATGACCTTGGAGGTAGCATAAACTTGATGCTCTTATCAGTGTTCAAAAAGCTGGGTCTTGGAAAAGTGAATCCCACAACCGTTAGCTTGCAACTGGTGGACAGATCGATTACATATCCCAAAGGCATTATAAAATATATGTTGGTGAAGGTTGATAAGTTCATCTTTCCAGTGGACTTTGTGGTATTGGACATGGAGGAGGATGAGAAAGTACCATTGATTCTTGGCCGACCTTTCCTGGCTACTGGAAGAGCATTGATTGATGTGCAAGAAGGAAATTTGACACTACGAGTTAATGAAGAGCAAGTAACTTTCAACATCCATCAAGAAAAGAAAGCCCTAGAAAAAGGAAAAGTTGACAATTGCAAAATGATCCAATCAGTTGAAGTAATTGCAGGAAACGAAGAAAAAAGGGAATTATTTTATGATCCATTGGTGCAATACATGGAAATTAGTTACTCAATAAAGGATGCATCTACTGATGGTAATGACTCAGAATGAAGAAAGCAGTGGATTTCATCTTAGCTCAAGAAGTTGACCCACCTGACAAAAAAAAGAGCTATGTAGATAGGCGTTTGAAACCTCCAAACATTGCCAAACCAAAAGAGGTCTTGAAAGCATACCAGGGTCAAAACAGTCTAAGTTCGTTTACCATCTTACGATGAAGGAGAATACAAAGTTGAAGATAAAGTTTAGAAATAAGAGAAATGTGCCACCTGAGGATCCACCGTAGACGTTGCAGTTGAGTCAATCTAGTGACTATAAAGAAGCGCTTCTTGGGAGGCAATCCAAGCGTTCTTACCTTTTCACTTATTTTATTTTATTTTATTTAGTTTGAATTATAGGAGAGTTTATTTCATTTCAAATTTTTTTTATTTAGGAATTCATCAGTCCTACCTCATCTCCCTTAGGTCTTTGAGCAGTCTAGTTGGTTATTAGATGTTCGAGTTAAGTAACACTTGTTCCATGAATTTAATATCTACATTTTGAATTTTGAAAAACTTGACATCGTTGAACAATCAAACCAATTGATGAAGAGTAACTGGATAAATATCAAGTTTGGGGGAAAAACTAGAAGAAGTATCAATCAAGTCCAGCATCGTAGCACCAGAACATCATTGGCAATTCAGACAATTCAGGGAAGTTTTCCTCCTTTTCTTTTAATTTAACATTGAGGACAATGTTTATTTTAAGTTTGGGGTATATCATAAATTTTCTAATTGATTTTCTAATTGCCTACATATTTTTTTTATTGTGTATTTTGTGTAATCTGTGTGCAATTTTTTTTTTAATTTTCTTATTAGGGTGCATTGTTAAAAAAAAAAAAATAGAAATCATTTTGTGTTTTGCATGCTTGTATGAGTTAGATAGCCTTGCCGATATTGATTTGTGTAAGTGAGAACATGCGTTGATTTATAGGTTATGAATAACTTATGTGCTTGAGTTAGATTTTTGCTTATTTCTGTAAAACGAAAATTATTTTTGCACGTGAGTTGATTGTGGCGTTGTGCATGAGTATGCTGATTCATGTTTATAGGTTGGATTAGAAAACTTAGATGCTAAACCCAAACAACATTTGAACATCACATTATTTTAAAACCAAATATAGGATGTTTGGTAGATTAAGTTGTTGCATGGAAACTTGGAGGTAAATGTGGATTCCGTGTGTGCTAAATTTTGTGTGAATTGTCTGAGACTAATAGGATGAAAATTGCGTGAAAACCATAAATTAGAGGTCGATTTTCGAGAATTGGTGTTTAATAAGGGGCGTTGCACTAATCATTGCATAAAAAAAAAAAAGATCACAATGTGAACAACTTTAATAATCTCATTGTGAATCATCTCTTCGCAACCTTTATGACTCGAGTGATTAAGCATGTAAGGGTTTAAAACCTAGTACCCTAAAGTTATCTGATTTGGGAGTTATCGGCCTAAAACTCGCTACAGTGGTCATTTAGAAAGTTTAAGGGAGTGACGTCTACATAAAGAGTGTTTAAAGAATAAATTTATATTTGAAAAAAAAAATAAAGAAAAGAAATTTGATATCACATACCTTGATTAAGCCCCGAACACTTGTTTTAAAGGATTATACCTTTGATGAGAGGTTAGTAACTTGGTTGATTCTGGGAGGTTGAAGCAGTCAAAAATAAGGAGAATCCTCATCTGTTGATATGTTGAACTGCAATAGTGAAATTTAACCAAACTTGAGCGGTGTAAGAAATTAGTATTGAAAAATCAACTTTAGAATACACCTTGGGAAAAGAAAAGAAAACAAGTTTGAGAGTGTGTGAATCCCACGAGCGAGGTAAGGAAATATTTGACTTTTAAGGTCGAAAATTGGGTCAATTTATTATTGTACAGTGTTGCGCTTAACTCTCCACACACACACCCGGTTGCATTGAATAGGCGAAAATTTGACTTGTGCATTATAGCTTTGAAGTAATTCATGAATTTGACGCTATGTTTTTAATCTTGAGCTATAAAGGCAAGGTGTCTAACATAATGTGTCTTTTAACTTATTTTGTTTGTTTTAGTTGTGCTTGTATATCTGTTAATGATTTTCTTTAGCTTGGTGTTAACTCAAGGAGAAGCAAAATATTAAGTTTGTGGGTATTTGATGAGTGCTCTACACTCATAATATTTATGCCACCTAATTAGTTATTTTGTTACTCTTGAAAGTGTTTTGAGCTTTTCATAATGACGTGCAATGCTTAGTTTCAACTAAAAATGCCTAAGTTATTACATGAGGTGGAAAATTCTTATTGACAATCAAATCAACTTTGGCCTCTGTTTGGTAGGTATTAAGTTTCAGATTTTAATAGTCCAATTCAGCAATTAATTTTAACTCATATATTTTATGGGACACACAACTTTTTAACCTCATATTTTATCAAAATTTATTTAAAATTTTGATTTTAATTATTACCAAATAATGGCTATTCTCTACAAAACAATTTATCTTATATTCCATAACCACTGATCGTTCATTCGAAACATTAATTTCGAGAACGATTGTGATGATGATAGTGAAAGTCATGCGGCATTTGTCATTTATTTTATAGTCTGTTATAATTATCAATTCAAGTAATATATGCGTTGGATAGGAATTCTTATTGAGAATACATGAAAGAAATGGTTATTATATTAATAAATTGACCAAATCAGCAATTAAAAATTAAATTGAATTTTTCAATGAAATTGAGGGATTCAATAAATTGGTTCGATAAACACATGAATATTCGTGTCAAAGTCAAACCAATCAAACAAAAGCAAAAAAGATTATAGTCAAATTAAGTTAGCAATGGTAAAATGTCCCAATGTCTTTGCCATGACGGGGTATCAAGCGGGTACAAAAACATGCTAAGAGGTTTTAATGTAAGTCGTGTGTAATATATATCGGCTCATGTTAACTATGTAATCAACTATTTAAAGTCGAACAAAGATCCCTTTTTAATAACACGAAAAAGTCTAGCATAACATATGAGTGCTCAACTCCATGGAAATATCATATACAGTAGAACGAACTACTTTCGAAGTGCATTACAAGTTTGATTGAGAATAAGAGTTTTGTCCGACGAGTAATTTAGGAGTTGTCTAATGAAGAAATAAGTCTACGGGCCCTTATAAAATATGGTTGACCACTGAACTATAAACCGTACTCTTGAATTCAACAAGTAGAATTCCATTCCAGGTAAATCTAATTTTTAATTTGGTTGCAAATAATATCTATTTTAAATTAAAATTAAGAGTAACTGAAAATTTGATTTCAATAAAATTTTCTGCTACCAAAGAATTACAAGTCTGAACACAAACATCTGACATTCTTTTTTTTTTTTTTTCCTTTTCTTTTTCAGTCGTGTATAGTACATAATTTCTATTTGAGTTATGTCAAATCTTCGGATCGAGTAAATTACTTGATAACGACAAATCAAGTATATTCTAGCACGTGGAAACAATTTTTTACTAATTATTACGTTGAAAAAGTGCAATAAATATAACATGTTCTAATTAAGCATAAAATAACCGGTCAACGAGCCTTTGTTTGACTATCTTTGTATATAATCAGTCAAAACACTTTTTTCGCTTCTCTTTTTCTCCACGAGAAGGGATTCTTTCGTGAACACACTCACTCCCAGTAGAGACTACTCGACATAATACAAAGCAGTTAGATTTCATTATTTTCTATTTAAGTTAGTAGACGAGACAAGACTACCATGGTCTTGAGCAAATTGAAGTCAAAAAGCTGATGGAGTAAGTGAAGGGGCAGATTTATTCCATGGAAAATGCAGACAAGAACAAGACACAAAAGTACATTAATTAACACTAATGCATTACAAATTTCAAATATAAAAGCAGGATATATTAGCATAATCTGCCTCGCCCTTGAGATTAATTCTACTCTTGAGCCACCCCCCCCATCAAGGAGAGAGTACTCTAAGGAACTGATAAAAATGCCAAAGGATAGAAGTTGCCCTTTTAATGAAAATATGCCACCACCCTTAAGATGACCATTCCTCACCATGCAGTACCGGAAAAGGCTTCTGATAGGTGGTGCCACCGCCACTTGCCACCACATGCCGCCACACACCGCCAGGAGCCATTGGCAACGGGGTGGTGGCAGCCGAGAAAAACCCGAAACTTCACATAAAGGGGGTGGCAATGTTAAGGCCTAAGAAGGTTTGATCAAGAAGATAGGAATGGATGTTATAAGTATGTTGATAGTCTTGAGAGCAATAAAAGAGTGAGGTGACTTAAGTAGGAGTATATGGTCACTTTTCGTTAAAGGGAAGCAAAAAGGAAGTAGCAAAGAGTGAAATGGAGGTTGGCTGTTAGCATCTTCCAAGGGATATGCCATTGGCATCTCCATTGTTCCATGCCACACCATCTTTTTTTTCTTTTTTTAAAACTTTTTTAATTTTCAAATTTAATTTTGCTTTTTGGCCCATTATCTTCTGCTGCCGTACTGAGCTTTTTCTAGGTATAGTTCTTGATTAAGTGAAGAACTGAGGGTGACATTCAAATGAAAATAACATGGCTGGGAAGTACCCAATATAGAAGACATTTCACTACTCGATCAACTTTCAGCAAAGAATGTTAGATAATTTTATTCTACAGAGACAAGTCGTAAAATTTCTCATTCATTGGTTTTCTTAAAGCATGTTGTTACCGGGCTTGAAATATGTGCGGTTAAAGGGTTGTTTATGTAATGAACAATCTAGGCAAAGTTTAATTTCCAACAAAGAATAGTTGTTAGTAGTACAGATAGATTGTACAAGACAGTTTACAAGTATCGAAATGGTAAAACTTTATTGGTTGTTTTAACTTTATTTTTGTCAAAACTTCAACGAGGTGTTGCCATCGAGCATTCAATAATTCCATCTGACAATATTTTCTATACATGTAACATTATTGTTTCTTAAAATACTCAAAGTCCAAACTACAAACCTTTGAATCTAGATACCTATGACTCGGTCTAAAATTACGCATACTATATTATTTGT